GAACCCGGGACCTCCCGGTCCTGAAATGAGTGGTAAACCACTGCACCACAGGATCGGTCTTCACGCACCTTAGAGCACTCAGCCTAAAGCTACAGCAATGGCGTCCCGTTTCTTTTCTTTTGCTAAAGTCCTTTTCTTTATATAAAATTTCGGAGACAATAAAAGTCTGACGTATTTATAAATTTATCACTACGTGATAGACTGGATGCGTGCAACAACGAACCCCAAATAAGTTGATTCATCCAGCATTAACGACAAGACATCAAATAAGTCAAGTGGCTGGCTATACAACGACATTTTCTGCGAGTTTCAGGCGAGCCTTTGCAATTGATTTCTTTCACAGAGATACCTTTGACTCTAGACTTCGTGCTAAGAAATATACAGAAGATGCGGATACCGGCCACCAAAACGGTTCTGAATATAGAGACTCAGTCGAATTTAAGAGTGTATCGTTCGAACTGTAGCCAGCTTTAAACGATTTCTATATAAAATCCGTTTTTGATATATCATGATAAAACCCTACACAGTGCATTGCGTGAGGTGAGTCTCGAGTATACTTCTCCTAAACGTACCAAAACTCTCAAAGTTTATTTCTTAAACGAAGACCAACAGTGTAATGTTTACGTACACCTAGGTTGAAGCCTCTTTTACCTTATTCTGCTGACATAAAAGCTCTACAGGGGTCCAAATTATCCCGTAACAAAGTAAGCACTATTACTACGTACTGCACTAAAAAACTACCTTCCGCGACTGTCTCTCGCGAGTTTTCTCACTCGTGATCTTTTATAGTATTGGCGGATGATCGATGCTGGGATAAGCCACTGATGGATTGATCTCTTTGCAATACCACCATACGGATTAGCGTAAGGTATTCCATGTAGTTCGGAGCCCTATTCTGCATCTGGAGCAGAAGATATCTTAGCTACATGGATTGAATGAGACGCAAGCGCGAGATCTTAAATTGATTTCTGTAACGGGATTACACGTACCCTTGTATGAAAGGGTCGGTCACACAAGATGGTGTGACCGTACGAGATGTGGATTACACAAGTCGGTGTAATCACACGATGGTGTGGCTACAACGTAACACGAAGCCACTACATGGCGGGACTGCTAGTAGTTATGCATTTATAATGAGTTTTTCTATTTAATTAGGCAATCCCAAGGTTATAGGTATGGACGGCTCTGCCGCAAATAAATCAAATAAATACAGCTCCCCATTTTAAACGGGAAGAGTGTATTATCTTTGATTATGGTTTGGGTACACCTGGACGTAGCGTATTGCGATTCGCTACACTCGAACTGGTTCTACTATAGAACGTAAGGTCGGTGACCTTAACTTAGCTTCCTCGAAGCAAAGAGCTTCGGCAGCCCCGCCGCACTTTGGTAGCACTTGTAGACCATATACACCTGAGTCGTTACTACTGATCCTCTGTGAGGATGGAGCAATTCTCCTATTTGCCCCAGGACAAGCAGGACGGGCTTAAAAATATGATGTCTCAGCTTGGCCCTGAGGGCGTGCAACACCTTGCTTCACAAGGACCTGAAGCGATAAGCGCGCGCCTAGAGGCGTTTTCAAGTTATAACATGCTCCTCTAGAGCACCTAAAGCAGAAGATGTCGGCGTTGTCTGCGCCCATGACGCCACCGTCGACGATGGATGACTGTCCACGAACCGAGCTACTCATGGTGAGTGTTTAGACCATCGAGGGCAAGTATGGATAAATTCTCCTGCTCAGGGTGATAGAGGCTGAGATGGCTATGATATCCGTCATGACCGAGCACATGCAACAGCATGTGGCGCTAGCTATCTCCAAGTTCGGTGGTCGAGCGCGAGAATGAGAACTGTCGTGCTGTACTTCGGATGAAGCGACGTTTCCCACCTCGACGAAGCTGCAGTTTTTGCGAGTGTTTTCGCCGCCAAATCAGGCATATCGCGTGCGAACACGTTTCCTTGCGGCCCGACAGGGAAAGAAAGAATTGGTGGACTTTGTGCAAGATTTGCGTACTCTTGTTAGCAGGAAGGCAGCTGATCCACTTCCCGAGGCGGTCACAATCTTTATGGAAGGTATCTGCTTTGGCGTGACCAGAATGGAAGTCTTCCGTGATCATCTTTATGGAGGGTCTCTGCTTTGGCGTGACCAGATTGGAAGTCTTACGTGATCATCTGTTTTTCTTGAAGAAGCGGTGTATATGGCATTGAATGCCGAATATAATTTTAATTTGGCACGACTTGGCTAGAATACACACCCTCACAGCTCGTCGAGCGGGCCTGAGCCAATAGATCTCAGTTATGCAAAGAAAGAGGGGGGAGAGCTCCGAGCTGCCAGGCAGCTTATAAACATCCAACGATGGAGACACCCGTCACCTTCAGACTGGTTGTCCCTGCGCAAGGTTCATAAAGCTTCGTCGAGCTGACGTCCCGTTTCTCACCAGTCTGTTTGTCGCGGGGAAACGACAACATCAAAGCGGTAGAGGGCAGCGATTACATCGGTCTCATGCTGGTACGCGTAAATTTGGAACGCGAGGCTCAACGTCTTCCCTTACTTTGTATAAACACTGAATTACAACAAGCTGCTCAACGCCACTCAAACGACCAAGCAATACAGAATTTCATGGGTCACAAGCTCCAGCGGCTCTACTTTGTCAGAGCGAGTGACTGACATAGGTTCGGCTCAGACCTGAAAAGCCCCGTGCTCTTGAAAAAGGAACGTGTATGCTAGCCGGGTCTACTGGTCGTATAAGCGACCATGAAGGTCTTTGAGAAGCCATTGAAGATCCTTATCGATTTAAAGCCGTCGGACAATTATGCTGACGCTGCACGATCGATGAAAGTCAGTTGAATGCTGAGGCGCTGAAAACGCGGTTGAGTGACGTCGTCACTGTTCGCTTAGCGTCGGGGAGCTTTGGCACTGTGCCGAGGGTCCCTGTGAACCTCGGTGTCCAGTTTCTTGACTTCGGTAGCGTGAAACGCTGCTAAGTCTTAGACTTGAATTCAATGTATGACCTTATCCTTGGTATGGCATGGCTGGAACACCATGAACCATGGATCGACCGGAGGTCGAAGACTTTGGGTGCAACGTGCACGTCGCCTGGTGGAGCTTTGATGAATCATGAAGCAAATTTTGCTAGAAGAAAAAATGCTATTGGCGCGGGCACTGGATCAAGACTGTCGACGTGCTAAAATTCGGAGTATCCGAGTTGGTGAACACCGATGTGTATCGGACAAATGTCCTGAGCATGGCTAGCGGGTTGAACATGGAGTGGTACGTAACCCACTGAGCGCTGCTCAGGTATTAGATCAGTTGCTGCATGCCAAGAAGGGAAGGTCGACCAAGGGCCGAGGCATCGAGGGCGATGCCCAAGTGATGCGCGTGAGTGGCACGTAATCTACTGAGCTCTGCTCACGATTCGAAGCAGTTGCTGCTTGCCAAGAGTGGCATGGACGATGGAGCCCGAGGTGTCTCGTGCAAGGTCCTTCTGATGCGCGTGGAGTGGCACGTTATCCACTCGACGAAGACTGCGGAATGGCAGCTCCTCGTTGTATTTTGTTTGTAACATCAAAGCTCCAATGGAGCGGGGAGTGGGGACATAGGACACGCTGAGCGCGTGCTCCCACTAGTCGCAATGAGACCTAAAGCTTCAAAGGGAGGAGATGGCGATGCCGTATATTATCTGCAAGGCGCGAAGCATCGAACCTGACCCAGGGTATGTCTACCGTAGACGATAGCGCACAGCTATACACCCTTTTGAACGGTATGACGGGAGAGGAAGACGGTAACGTCGCATTCAATCATTCAATGCTATTCACGCGACGGATGCTATTCTTGAGCTGGACGGGATTTCCTTCGAAGAGTTTGACGGTGCCTTGAAGGCAGGCAAATTAGCCGAGGGGGTCATTATACAACCGAACGAGGAGATTAACTCGTCGTCGCATCTGGTGAATCTGTCGTGGAGGACACTAAGAGAAAGCTGAACGCACGAAGAGGATCGTCAATCCTGAAAGATCCTTCGGACCCGTGCTTCCTTTGGTGAAGAAGTTTCAAGACGTCGTCTCCAAAGACCCGCCGTCGGTCCTAAATCCGGACCGAGGTGTGCGTCATGAGATCGACCTGGTTCCCGGAACCAAATACTGCGTAACACGCCAATGGCCCTTCCCAAGGAGCAATGTGATTTCATTGACGCTTTTTTCCGTGCGAAGGACAAGAAGGAATGGTGCGCGAGAGCAAATCCCCCAATTCGACACCCACATTTTATGTCCGGAAGCCGAACGGCAAGTGGCGTATCGTTCACGCTCTCAATAACCTAAATGCTGCCACCATTCCTGCATAGATCCTTTTTTCTAGGAAGGATGTTCTCCAGAACAATATGGTTGGCTGTACAAAGAACAGTGCACTCGACTTGGTCGATCAGTAATACCAATTGCTCATGAGAGCGAGTGATATTCCGCTGACAGAGGTGAGTACGCCGAGTGGGATGCTCTGGGAGTGGCTGGTGATGCCTTAATGGCTGTCAAATGCACCAAACCATTGTATTGTAACGCAGTTGTTCAGGCACCGGGCATATGCACACGACATCTTCGTCCACGATAGTGCGAGGCATCGGAGGACAGATGAGGAAAATCACATCGTTCATTTGACAGCGGCGCTCGAGTTCATAAGCACGAATGAGCTGATGCTAATTCAGATAAGTGCATCTTCGGCGCTGAAGAAGCCCTCTTTATAGTTTTTTTTTATTGGAAGCGTGGCCTTTGAGCGGATCACGCTAAGGTCAAGGCCATTATGGACTCGCCGATTCCAGAGAACCAGAAGGACATGCGCCAGTGGCTTGGCCTCGCCAACTACTTACACAGGTATAGCGCGAATTGAGCAAAAATGGCACGACCATCGTCGTATACCCTTGGGTAGGATGCGGAATGGTGTTGAGACACCGAACATCGGGAGAGTTTCGTCAGGGTCAAAGACAGCCTCCTTCATGCACCAATACTGGCGTTTCCAGACTCCGGACTTTGCCATCGGCTGTGCACGGCTGCAAGCAGACACCGAAGGGCGAGATCGGGTGATCGTGTTCGAATCTTGCCTGCTCAAGGCTGCGGAGAAGAACTACCCAGTCCACGACAAGGAATTACTTGTGATGAAGTATGTACTTGTCAAGTTCAGGGGGCACCTGCTTGGCTCAAAGCCGTTTGTGATCTGCACATATCATGCGTTATTACGCCATAGTCGCCGAGGACTATGGCCTGTTGGCTCTCCTTCTTCGCAGAATATAACTTTGAGGTGAAGTATAAGTCAGGAGACCAGGATGCGTTGGCTGATGCGTTGTCACGCAGACCGGATTTTGAGCTTGCTCATGTGACGACGGATACGTCGTCAGTGACATTCGCGAGTGATAGTATGTGTATAGCGCTGCTACAGACTCTCGGGGTCAAGGAGTTTGGACACTCGGACTAGAAAATGTCGGCGCGTTTGCGCGCACGGTTATACCAATGATCGTTGAATAACGGGTTGCTGTATAATAGTAACGATTCGACGGATACGCCACGAATTGTAGTTACTCACGATGAGGATTGACGTATCGTATCCGCTATGAGGCCCACAACACCGCACTCAGTGGTCATCTTGGTCGTGCGAAGACGTATTGCTCTGTGGACTACCACTATTGGTGGCCAAGCTGTACAAAGCACATATGTTTGCACGTATGAGACATGTCAGGGGGTGAAACTCTCTCTGAATGCGGTGGCGCCGCTGGCCAGTTTACCGGTACCCTCCGGGTGTTGGCAGTCCATGTGTTTTGCCTGCGAAGGACTCGACGGGTAACACGGGTGTGGTAATCCTTGTCGACCGTTTGAGCAAAATGGCTCATCTTGCGGCGGTGCCGGACATCATCGACAGTTTCGTTACAGAAAAGCTGTTTGTAGATCTTTTTTTCGAAAACAGGGATCCCCGAAGTCAATTATCTCTGACACAGTCCCACGCTTCACTGGGATGTTCTGGACGGCGATCTTCAAGGTGCTTGGCACCAAGTTGACTTTGTCAACAGCGAACCATTCGCAAGCTGATGGTCAAAATGAGCGCGTGAATTGCGTCATTAAAGATGTCTCTCGTAGCATCTGCGCTGAGATGCCGAGGCGCTGGAGCGCCATGTAACCACTTGTAGAGCTTGATCCGAACAATGTAATGCAAGCGTATACCGGCTACACGCCGTTCTACGTGAACGGGCTTGTTTATCCTCGTATTTCGCTGACGCCGCTATCACATACCTCAGGACTTGGTGGGAAAGGAATAGCCGAGCAGCTAGCTGATGTCAGTACCCTCACTGTGCGCAATGAAGTCGATGACTTACTGTCAACTAGACTGAGTGTCTAACAGCACGTTCGTGATGCGATGGCTGAATGCCAAGACATGCAGATAGAATATGCGGATGGAAGAAACAGAAGAAATGTGGGAAATCTAACTTTAAAGTCGGAGACCTTGTTTTATGAAATGCTGAAAACCTTCCTACACATGCAGTTTCTGCTGTCTTCTAGACAAAACCCCGTCTACGGTTTATAGGACCTTAAAATCTCGCGGCCAAATGGGGCATTACATATAGGCCAAACCTTCCGAAAAGGATGCGCACCCACCCGGTGTTTTATGTGGGCTTGCTTAAGCCGTACCGGGATCCGACGCAAGTGATGTGGAAGCGATGGCGCCGGGGCGGCAACCGCAGGCGATCGACCACCTAGAAGCTGAAATAGCAACTTGTTTTGAGCACGAGTTGCAACGATCTTTATCTCCAGCGGCGCCAGGCACTCCATCGTCGCACAAAGTGACGCATTCGTCTGCTCGGCGGCTCGAAGCCACTTCGACAGAGCGCGATAGTCGTCTCCGTGAGGCAGTCGTCCACAAAGGACTCTAAGCCTTTGAGGTCTTCCGCACAAAGGTATGCAACCTTGGCAAGATGCTCGGCGGAGTACGGATCACGACGCACTTTGTCCTCCAAAGCTCATAGTGCATCGTGCAATCAACCAAGTCGTCATCATCCGCCGTCAACTTTTCTTGATGAGTATGGTGGCATACACTATCCCGTGGAACGCCTTTTGGGCTGGCGTCGTCGACAGGACCGAATCCAATATCTTATGAAGTGGCGGGAATACCCCGACTACGAGAACTCGTGGGAGTTTGAGGTGCCACTTTGGCAAGACTGCCCAGAAGTCGTAGACGCTTATGATCAGAAGGATTATGACGCTCCGCGCTTCTCGGCAGTAGCCCGGAAGCCGGAGGGCCATGAGCTGAGCTCAAGTTATATCCCTGGGCTGCTGTGGTTGCAGACTCACCCGTGTCAGTTTTCACAGAGCTCGTGGGAGCGTGATGGGTAAATCCATACGTCGCAGGACAACAATCCGAAGTAAAGTCGGCGTTGCGCCTTGCGTTTGGCGATCTCGAACCGAAGATGGCGTTTTACGCTGTTGCTCCGCTGTAAGTGAGACAACTAAAAAAGTTCTCGGTGCCTCTGCATTCATCACTCAAATAGATCTTCATCATCTGCAGTGATTTCGCTAGGGACGAGCACCACATGAATCGTCCGCATTGCGGGTGCAGGAGCGCATCCTATTTGAGAGCGAAGGCGGGCGCGGTACCTAACCATTGGGAATCTTGATGTACCAAGAAGCAAGCTCGGATAGCTTTCGTTGGCCAAGCTCAGCTTGTGAGGTGACCGAGAGCCCGACCACGTAGACGCCCAACGATCGAGTGATCGCGTCCTCGCTTCTGTAGCGGGACCGCCGAGCGGAAGCCATAATTCACACGAGGGTCTAGGACCGACCGTGGGTGTGAGCGCTCTGTGGGAAGCCTCCATCTACTGCTCATGTGTCTCATCGAGGCGATTGGCAATAATACCACTTTTCCGGGAAACGGACACGTTGTCTGCAAGGTTCAAGCAGGGCTCACGTCGTGCCGTTGGTGAACCTTGACCCCCCTCTCTTCCGATCCAAAACAAGGAGTATCCGACTCGTAGTCGACATCCTTCAAATCCTCGACGAGGAAATCCGTTGCCCGTGGCGGGCGCGGTGTGCGGCGTTTGGTTGCCGGGGGCTTGGGATGCGCTTATCTTGAAGCCGCGATCGTGCTGTCCGAGGTCTAACCGCGTGCATGAGACGAAGGAGGGCTCTGCCCGTGGCCGCTAGCGCGGCTGGTGTTTTTCGTGTCACAGACACAAGCTTATTGGGCAGAGAATGCGTGAAGAAGGTCATGCGGACGTAGAGATGTCTTAGCCACGCGTAGTTCGAACGAGGCGACAGTAAAATGTGAAATGTGGGTACTTACACCAGTGATGAGGGCACGTTTAACAAGGTTACACGTACCCTGGTATGAAGAGGTGGGTAACACCATCTTGTGTGACCCTACAATGGTGTGGCTTCACCTTAACAAGAAGCAACTACGTGGTAGGACTGCCAGTAGTTATGCATTTTTATGAGGTTTTGCAATTTAGTCAGAAAACCCTATAACATCAGAAATAGACGGCTTTGCCCTAAATAAAACAAAAGATATATAGTCCTAATTATATACGGCAGAGATTTTTTGCCTTTAGTTAAGGTTTCGGTCACTCTTGGAGTAAGCAGATTGCGATACGCTACACTCGTACTGGTTCTAATATAGCGTAAGGTCGGTGAGCTTAGCGTAGCTCCTTCTAAGCAAAAGAGTCCCGCTGCAACATCGGACGTAGCTCTTAGCAGCTTGGTGTCAATATTTATGAGCAGAGTTACTCTCGAATTTATTTTATAACAAATGGCAATCGCGAGGTTGACGGTCTACATGGCATCACCACATGCTGAATTCTTTCGCTCATAGGTAAACAATCAAGCAATCAAATCATATAGATGTTGCGCATCATTCTGCTGCAGACACATGAAAAATGAGAAAATTTTACGGCATTATAAGTTTTTGGGTAATTACAATTCTTTTATAACAACACCGGAACTAGTTGTCAAGTCGAGCGCTTGCTTCAAATTCTAGATTCTAATAAATCTCAAGCATGTCTGTGTGTTTTATTTTCTTCGTATCCGTGCCCCGAATTTCTGTTAATTTTTGCGCGTCTGATTAATACAAATCCACGCAAAACAATGGTGAACTTTGCATCGCATACTTTTATTTACCTGATCAGATTGACATTTTAATATCACGTCTTAGCAATGCACCGACTTTCAATTGTTTCAAGACGATTCCAAAGAATGTGCTGAATATTCTTGCTCCATTATTATTATTTTGATTTGTATGTCTGGTCAATATGTAGATTTGATAGTACTATTCCTTCTTGAACTTTATCATCACAAGATATTACCGATTTTGTGGGTCAGGTTGTGTAATAATTAGTCATATCACTAAAATATATGACTAATTTTACAGCTTCTGTTTAAATTCTTTCATATTTAATTGATCACGGATTAAATCGGACAAAATTTTGAAAGAATGTGACTGTAATACCTTTAATCAAGTGATTAATTTCATCAGAATTCGATTTTTTTTATTAAAAAAGGCAGAATACGACTTAATTTGCCAACTAAGGAGCTTTCGTGAGGCGGCGAGACATGATACTCTACAGGTTGTTTTAGAACGCGTTTGGACAGTATGTGCCTTTTGCGGATAATTTGAAGCCTATTATTTGCACTCATACGCAATGCTGCATGTCTTGCCAGTCTAACGCCATGACAATCCGGCTGCAGCCGTCGACGTATTGATACACAAATTCAGTAGTCAGACTGTTGATGCATGTTTTGTTTTCAAACTCGCTCGTTTATTATTTACGTGCACTAAAGTAAATTAAAGCAGTGCAATTGAAAAAGATCACGAAGTATGAAAGCGAAAATGTCATGCTAGCTTGAAGGAGGATGGTGGCTATCAGTGCCTTCGGAAAGTAATAGCTTGTTTTTCACACAGAAATCGTGAAAGATCATGTACCAAAGAGCGTACCACGGGATATCATTTGCGTCGTCGCTCAGCTCTCTAATCGCATTATTTGCTACATGTGATCCAGGGGCTGCAATTTTGCCCTTGTTGGCAATGTGGAACAGCTGACGTGCTTGGAGCGACGTCAGACCTTTGAGCAAATTCAAGGCGCTGCCAGAAGGGGCGTTCGTTACAGCCGTTTTGATAGTATTGTGAACATGTTGAACTGGATCACTCTCGTCGTTTGACGGACTGGAAGGTTCAGAAGATACGTCCGATCTCAATCTCTTAGACTCTCGCATGGCAATAGAAGCTTCAGTATCTATGGACTCTTTTAGCTGCTGGATCGTTCTTTTGATTTCCTGAGATCGACCTCGATACTCTGTGAGGGTTGAAAACGATTCGCCAGCCAAAAACTCATTCTCTGTGGCTACTTGCGCGGCTTTTTTGGCTATAAGCGCCGCTTTGTTGGCTTTTATATTGTAGTGTTGCGTAGCGACTAGTGAATGCTCAAGCAATGTTTTATCGGGAGCGGTCATATGTCGACTGCTATGGTGTTCGAGTTTCTTGATCAGTTTTTTGGCTTCATTACTTTTGTTCAGGGAAAATTGGCGAGTTGCATCGGCTATTTGACGGCGCGCAGTATACACGGTATCGAGATAGGCCAAATCTTCGATGAGTTGGCCATCTTCTTCTTCAAGATCTTGGATTTCTTTTTTTTCCTTGAAGGCGGCAGGAGAGCCCAAGTTTTTCATAATCATCTTGCTTAAGTCATCCGCACTGACTTTGACGATCGCTTTATCCTTCTCGTTTGCCAATGTTTCCGGCAACATTAATTTTAATGCTTCACCACGTGTCTTGGCAATCAATCTAGCTAAACTGTTGCGCTCTTCATCAGCTGTGGTGTGCACCACTCGGTCATTGCTTTCTTTCAACGACATTTTGGGTAACGTCTTGGTGTCCATACCACCAATTGGCAAGATGTCATGCTTTCGTACATTTCGTGACTTGATCTGAAGGGATTCAGCAGCTGTGTGGACGCTTGTTGCGATGAGGAGAGAAGTAGTCACGTAGATTGCACCGCGCATGAGGAAGAGAGTGAGACAAAGAACTGACTTGGAATTTTAAGATATGTATCCTGACGAGCAGAACGACTTAAATCAGTGTCAGATTTTAAGGTTCCAAAATTTGGATAGAATTTTGAATTTCTTGAACCTTGAACAAAATTACTGGCTTTGTTGCAAGCAATCTTTTCGTACCTACTTTATGTTTTATTGTTTGTTAGAGACGCAGAAAAGCCAAGGTATGATGACAAACTATCCTGATAGTGTTGTTTGGATACGTAGAGAAAAGACTTGTGGGGGATGTGTGGGTTGCTAGACTTACGTCATGAATTAGAATGAGGTACTAGTGTTACAGGTAGTATTTTGTGTCGTTTACAAAAAGCCTTTAACTCTTACAATCAGCGTAATGAAATGTATAGAGGTTGAATTTGTCCACTTCCTAGCTTAAAACCTGATACCATTCGCTCTCATTGCTGTCTGAAGAGCACACATATCCACGAATATTTTATCCGGCGCGTAAGCACGTCGAAACGTTCAAACATGTGCATATACAAACGATCGAGGTGCTGAGGCATTTAAGCATCAAAGTTGCACGATTGTAAACGGGCTTAGTAATTCTACAATTAGAACTGGTAGCATCAAAATTTTTTAGTGCTAGTAATGCCAATCAGCTTAATTTGATACTTTCAAAAACATAAATGCTGGATTTGTAGCTTTAATCGATTTATATAAGAGTATAATTAGTATGACTGCTTACTTTTTCCCCATAACGTAATACCATTTACAAAAGTCCATGATACGGCCTGCTATAAAAATACGCTTAGTGTAGCAAAACGCTCATTTTTAGCTACATTTTTGTGCTTGTCTCTGCGTGTTTAGTAATCTATATATAATCTTACAGGGTGAAGTTTGAGGCGTCTGTAGATAAATGGAGCGATTGTGCAGAGTATGATTTTGTCGTATTTAATAGTCTTGATGTAGTCAATTAGGATTACTACGTAGAAACATAATATATTGGATGATATTTCGTGTATGTAATATAACAGAAAATGTCTTACGTATAATAAATTTACGTGAATATTAATAACGCAAAAAAACGGAGTGACACATAATTAAAGTTTCCAGATCGGTTGCCAAAACATTTGGGAGGTAAGTAACAAAAGTGACCTCTACCATATATAATAAGCCTCTCAAAAGAAAGTCACCTTTCAGCGGCATAATAAAAGTTAATTGAAATAAACTTAGCTTTATGCGTTAACTTTAGTAATGGAAAAATAACCGCCTCTCACAAATAATGACATGTACGTAGGCTGTCGCATTCCAAAACGAACTTGATACTAAGCCATTTACTTCGCGACATTTTTGAGCGCCCCTAAGCTAACCCCAGATGTACAGCCTAGCTAACAACTTCTCATTTCAGACCAATCGCGTAGTGAAAACTACTAATTCATGTGCTCTAAAACTGATGCGACTCAACTGATATAACTGTCATCTATAATAGTACACGACAATTATCAAGTGCTAAAACTTGTTCACAGCTTCATCTATTTCTCAAATAAAAATCTACTGAATAGATTAGTAGATCAAATCCTAAATATTTCGTATAGAGCATTGGGTTAGAAGTACACTTCTGCTTGAACAGAAGCTTAACGAAGCTAGCAGTCTGAATTGCGAAGCTCTGGCATGTTCGATGCGACATGCTCTAATTTTTATCATGTATTGAAAAAGAGAGAGGAAACTGGGTATTGTGTACAGACGTACCAATTTTCCAGGCCATCAATATATTCTCGTTATGAAGGCTCTACCACTTATGATCTCAATTTATGAAATTCGTTTGTGATCTTAACTTTTCAGATCAATGATTGCTATGGAACATAAGTTCGATAATTTTCCTGCAATATTATTATCTTCCGAATCGTTCCACGCTTAGAGCATCATTTGAAAGAAAAATGATTGCAAAAGTCTCATTGTTTATAGATATAGCGATCCTACAACCTGATCTACACGTTAAATCCATCGCAGCCAAAGATCATTATTTTCACGCTTAAAATTACCGTACTGTCACCTTCGACGTTACAATCTACTACGTTATCATGTCTGCTTGCTACATTTTGACTTTATTCAATATGAATATATTAAAATACAGCTTAACTAATGTTTAAATGGATTTCTTCCCACCACAAATGCAGCACCTCATAGTCACAAATGATATACACAAATTGTGAATGCTATCGCTTGTACTAAGAGTAATCGTTTCTTTGTTGATAGCAAATTTGCTACTAATTAGAAAAGTGTATCTTATTACTACGAATCAGACCGTTTTTTAGTCGGTTACGTGACTATTAAAACGCTTAAAAGAAGGGTGTTAATAGAAAGTTGGAGTTTACTGCGAGACGATCAAAGTTTCAGATCCTGGGATTATCTAAGATGTCCGCGTTAGTGACATCTGAACGATTCAGATCTAAATTGACGAATGCTTTCTCAGTAAAAACTGAGGACTGGCGCCACTATACCGAGAGGGGCCTTGGAATAGTTTCCATACTCTCGTCACTTGGTGCGACGTTGCGGTTGGAACTTAGAGAAATGCACTTCATTGCTTCACTTTCCAACTTACTCATTTCAAAAGTTAACGTCGTTCTTAATCTTCAATGGAACTTTCATTTCAAGATATCGTACAAATTCTTGCGACACTATCGGCATTGTCCATGTGTGCAAGTCCATTGTCTGCAATTACTCGAATCATTCGACAACGTGATGTGAAAAATGCATCCATTCTACCATTTGCAACGTTGTGGGTTTGTAATCACATTTGGTACGTAAGAATTTCGATTGAAAATCTTAACTACTGGAGTATTTCTTAATTTTATTTGTTTTGAACTGGTAGGATGTTGTACGGTTACGTCGCAGGTAACCTCTTTCCTGTCTTTACAACATATGCTATTGGAGATGCTCTAAGTGTCATCTATCTCGCAATATACCTTCGCTATACAACAAATTACAAGATTGTCATCACGATTTGCTCGATTGCAATGTTTTGTAATGCAGCAGTGACTTTTTACGTTATGGTGGGGATGAACGTAGAGCTCAAACATTCAGAAGATGCGATGATGACGGTGGTCGGTATCATTGCGATCATTTCCAGTCTTGCACTATATGCTTCACCCCTTTTAGAAATCAAAGTGGTAGTACAAACACGGTCGTCGACTTCATTGCCGTTTGCTATGATCCTCGCTGGAGTAATCAACAATCTCTTGTGGATTCTATACGGCATTCTCGTCTTCGACTGGTTTCTAATCGTCCCCTGTAGTGTCAATGTATTCTTTGGACTTGTTCAAGCGACGCTTTATGGTGTATTTCATCCTTCTTGCTTTGGGACCGAACGAAGTGTCATATCATGCAATTCTCCAAAGGATGACCTGACAGCGTTCAGTTACGCAGGGATAGAGTCAACTCCAATCGTCCAGACTGAAGTGATCAAAGAATGTCCAGAATCTGTCACCATTATAATCGACGAAATTTCTTCAAACAGGTAGAAGATTGTCAAATTAGACGAAATAGAAATTGTACATACTCCGTCTATTTTCAAACATATTACTGCTTTATAGTAGAATAGCACTCTCAATACTATATGCTGTAATGTAGTAGCTTACTATTTTACCAGCAAAAGTACTACTTTCAACATCTTCACTAAAATTTGGAATCGTCTTAAAAATGCTCTTTTTTATTGATAAATACCTCAATCATCCACTTCATCTTCGGGTTCATTATGAATAGAAAGACTCAAAAGTTCCATCAATCGCTTCGTTCTCGGCAAAATCTCTTTCATTGATGCAGCACCCAATTCACGCTTAAGCTCACGTATTAAAATACTCATTTCACGGACTTGTTGAACACCAACAAGATTTGTATCACCAGAAAGATTCGATTGAGATCGACGCTTTTCAACAACAAAATTAAGCGTCTTGTTTCCGTGCATATCTTCCTCAGCATGATGCGTATTCAATTCCACTTCTTTCTCTTCTAGCCGCTCCTTGATAATGTTTAACCTTTGTATTAATGATGTATTCTTTTCTAAACGAAGTCAATCAATTCATGTCATCAGCGAAAGTTTTGAAACTCATCATTGTTAATTGTACACACCTAAGTGGAGAAGATCGCCAATCACTCGTGAGAAATTCTTCATTTCATTAATGAACAAATACGTTTCCTGCAACAAATTCACATTTGTTAAGCTTGATTGCAGCAAGAGATCAATAACAGAAACCATTTCATAATACATTAATTTTCGGAAGGACACCATCGATCGCCTTAACTTGAAACAGGTGTGAAAAGTGTCTTACAATTTGGTTAATCAACACATTTGGTCGGCGCTAAAGATTAAACAACAAACGATAAGTTACTTCCCATGCATATTTTCAGCTATGAACTCACCTCCACTTCAACCGCAGCTTGAGCATAGATTTCCCGATGATGAATTACACTCTTCTCTAGTTCAACCAGCTCTGCAACGATCTGAATAGCGCGAGAAAGCGTCGTTGGGCGGCTAATAGAACTCTCCCGATTATTATCTTCCAAAAGATTTGGCTCAATTGCACGCTTGCATAGCTCAGTAATAATTGAGACCTTAAATCCTTCCAAAGCATGGAGTTTCTGTCGCTCAACCATCCACTGTTGCAATGTTGGAAGCACATGTTCCAGCTCAAAGTGATCATTTGGATGCTCTCCCGTGTTCTCATTTAAATTAAAATAAACAAACCCACATACATCACGAATAAACTTTTCCATGCGTGGTACTGCAGCCACGACGCCACAAAGTTTGTCAAGACTTGGACCAATGAGAGTTATGTCTGTCAGATGGAGGATACGACATACGTGCTTGACCACCTCTAACATCGTTTCACGTGGAAGCGTGTTCAATCGATTCAAATGTAAACGATGATTCAAACGATCACGTTCAACAAGCTCTTTGGTTCCCATATACTTTCGCAGCTCATTGAGATCAGTAGCTTCATCCAATGCGAGTTTACTTTCAGTCACTTGACGTTCCAACTCATGAATTCGTCGCTGACATAATCGGTAGTCGCGGATACTAGGACGCGACTCTGCCTCGAGCGTCAAGTTAGCATTCTCTTCTTTTAATTCAGCAATTGTTTCATGGGCAGTGAGTAATTCTTGTTCAATCATTGCAACTTTCTTGATCATTACAGCTTCACGATGTCGAAGCTTAGCAGCCACGACTTCCTGCTCTCGACGTGCAGCTTCCAATTGTTCAAGCATCATTTCATCAGAAGACAATGAAGATCCAGGACGATGGCGATACTGATTCTCATCAAAGTCTTGTTCCCACACTGGCGGTTCACTTTGCAGCGCTGTACGACTTTGTCGAGCTATAAAGTTCTCTTTATCTCGAAGTTCACTGTTCAGTGCAGCCACCTGAGCTTTTAAGAATTGAATCTCTTCATGCATATGTTCTCGTTGTGCTTCATATCCACTAATTGTTTCAAGTGCTTCAGTATCACGCGAATTTGCGCGTCGTGGATCTCGATCTTGTAAATTACGAAAAGCTCGTCGATCTCGTAACTTATTCATGTTGTCTTTATCAATTTGTTGCTGTAATTTCGCCTGCATTCTCTCCACCAAAACCTCTTTGGCTTTCACGCGGTGTTCACTTACTTTAAGCTGCTGTTGTAAGCGCAAACACGAATTTTTGAGCTTTTTCGACAAAACTTCAGCATTTTCGCTCTCCTTTTTCTGGCTTGTCTAAAAATGCATAATGTCAGCTGATAATCTTGTTAAATTTAGGCAAATGAAAGTATTCAATACCTTTAAGCGTTGAATTTCAGCTTTCGCTCTTTCCAACGCGTTTTGAACATCTACTTTTTGCTTTTCTAAGCTTTGCAGATCTCCCTCTTTTCTGTGTTGAGCCCTTGAGTTGCGTTTCGATGCCAACAACAAATCTTGAATCGTCTACATATCCACAACAATAAACTTTAAAAAAATCATCTTTTTCAGCATATACCGATCTTCACAAACCTCATTCTTTTGTTCTAATTGAGCGGCAACGTCATGAATGAGAATAAACAAAGACTCTTTGTCAGGCACATTTTCTTCCAATCTACTGCGACGGAATTGCACAGCGGGTAAACCATTTTTCCGAAGCAGATCATTCAATCCATTCCATGCACCTTCATCAAATACATTACGCTCGTAACGATCAATATTGTCGACATCATTTTCATGTTTCTCTTTCGTTTCTTCCACTTCGTGTGAAAGCAACACATAATCAGTCTCATCACAACCTTCTCTGGACGATCTCACAATATCATCAGACACTTGAATCAAACTCGCACCATCATTTTTGTCAGAACAAATTGAATCCTTATCTTTTTTACTTGCAATCTCTGTATTTGTCGTCTTAAGCAAATGAGAATAGTGATCATGTTCTTTATTTTCCGGTTGGTTCTGTTCTTCCGTTTCGTTTCTTGAAATCAAATTCTGATCTTTCTCATTAATTACAGACGATCGAAGAACTCCCAACGCATCACTTAATTCCTCATCCAATTCTTTACTGGATGCATTTGAAGATTCTGAATTGATTAAAGATGGTGGATGAGATGTCGAAGAAGCAGCCGATACCATAGTTACACCTTCTACTTCTTGTTCTGGTGTCATTTGATAATCTGAAGCAAATAACGAAGAAGTTGAAATTTCCATACCCTGTAACTCAAGTACAGATGACGAAGAAGCTAGAGAAGGTGGCACCGATAATGTATCATGATCTCTTGTATCACTTATAGGAGTTGTATGACTTAATAGCGAAAGTCTTGACCCATCAAAGAGCATCGACCTATCAAAAGATTCATTCTGCACTTGTCGTGCTCTTCCTATGTCGTCACTTTCGGGTCGTTCACTCGTTCTATCTCCACTAAGTCGTTCGCGGTCTCGACCAAGTAATAAATCTTCATCTTCAAGTAATACAAAACGCGGTGGTTCACGCTCATCTGCATCACTTAGTACTTCATCATCACTTAGAGATGCAAGTTCGAGGGCTGAGTCAGAGATACTAAAGCCATTATCCCGTAAAAACTGGTCAACGCTTACTAAACTCTCATCCTCCATAGAACCGTCGGACATTTTCAAACCACTTTTCGTGAATAGTATACTATGTACTCGTACTATTTGCTGAAATATGAATTACAGTTTTTTGATTTGTCAGTAGTTACTATACTTGACGATGAGTAGATTCCTTCTGCTTCTGGTGCTACTATCAGTACGAAAAACATCGATGGATATCATGACGATCCATACAAAGTACTTGGAGTTAAGCGATCAGCATCGGACGTTGAGATTAAACGCGCGTATCGTTCACTTGCACTTAAGTGGCATCCTGATAAGAATCGAGATGATCCAAATGCAAAGAAGCGATTTATGCGTATCAATGCTGCATACGAAGAGCTAACAAATGCTCAAATAGTACCAAAACATACAAGACAGCAGTATCAACAATATAATCGACAATACTACGATTATAGCTACCATTCGACTCGACATTGGGATTTATCTCATCTTACGACACCCTTTTTGTTGATTCTATTACTTGCTGTGGTTATGGGAATATTTGGAAGTAAAGAAGCAGAGTCCAAGACACATGAGATGAAGCCAAGTGCTTTAAATGAGCTTGCAAGAGTCTTTGCACCTTCAATTTATGAGTTTAAACCTTTATATTTATTAGCGAAAGGAAGACGTACGCTTGTATTTTTTCCAGATGAGAGATATCATGGATGCACTGTAAAAGGTAAGTGATGATATATGAGATTGAATGGTTGATTGATCAAAATCACTGATCTATGAGTTTTTATGGTTGTAGATCAGTTTCGTATTCTTGAAAACTTAGCAGTCGCGTTCCAACGCGACCCGCTTACATTCTGTTGGCTTGATTTAAAAACTCTCTCGAAGGACAAACAAAAGCTTTGGCAAACGCAGTTTGAAAATCGTATACCACGTACGTTTGTTATATTGTTAAATAATGTTAAGACGGTATTTTAACGGCATGTAGCGTTTGTTGTGAGTCTGAGTAACAGCAACAAGAAAATTGCGTTGTTTCATCATTATAATGACAGCACGCAGGACCCATTGGCACTTGAAAAGGCGATTCGTTCATGGCTTGTACGTCTAGTAGGAGGTGAAATCTCCCATATTCCATCGGTACTTGGTCTTGTTGATTAGAAGACTAATTTAGTACAACAAGTTTATCTATTAGCTGCTCAATTGAGCATAATGTATCCTTCTCGCGATAAAGTCTTTCACGCTTTGTTATATACTGGAGAGAACCTGATCCAGTGCTGCTCATGACAGTTATTTATCTCTTTCATTTGAAAGATATCCTTTCACGAATCGCTCACATAGTGTTGTCTCTCTATCATGAGTTTCAACTGTTGTTCCAGTAGATCCTGTCGACGCGCGACATTGCGTATCTCAGTCAAAAGCACTTCATATCGATCGTCAAGCTTTAAAGTGGAAGCTGAAAATTCACTGACAAATGAATTGTTATTAATTACACCAGCATCCTTCGTTGATGCTTTTATCGTATTAGAATAACCAACTTCGATATCACTAGTCTCATTCATATCAAGCGCACGGTCAAATGTTGTGACTTCACTGCTCATATTTGACACTTGATTTAATTCACTGCGTCTCCGATGCAATGAAGGAGACCTTCGTAATACATGAGGAGCAGTCAAAAAATCCGTCGCAACGGAAAGACGCCGACTAGCATCAGAATTTGTGCTTTTTGAAAACGACGGCGGCAATTTCATTGACAATGCATCATTTTGTAGTTGTGTGTGGTTCGAATGAAGTTGCAACTGTGCATTTAAATCATTCGAAGGCACAAGATTCACAACCGAATTACTTCTTGCAAGAGTCGGTCCGGTCATAAATTCTTGTAAAAACGGCAAACTAGCCACAGTAACTCCTACTGGAAGTAATGCTTCTACACCTTCAGCTCGCCACATCATAGCTAGACCTTGTAGTAAAGTACGCGACTTACCACCACTTTCCGAAATCAATGTCAGTGCTTTTCGTGATCTTAAAGTGGTGAGTTGACGTGCAGAACGCAACGTCATTGGGTGTAACAAAAGAACTCGAAGAATTTGTTCTCGATCAATACAATGCGTTTCACAAAAATCAAGTGCTTGAATTGTAGCAAGACGAGGTTTGCGTGGATTTGCAATGCTAAACTCCCCAAAACATGAATTTGGACCAAATAGAGCAACTTTTGTCAAGTCAACTAAGACTTGAGCATGTCCAACAAAAAGAAAAAACATTTCGGAACCATAATCCCCTTGACAAATGATATCCTCTCCAGGTAAATAGCATTGTACATGCATTCGTAAATACAAATCGTGAATAAACTCGGAACTACAACCAGCAAGAAATGGCATTTTGTGAGGCATTATATCCTCGCAAAAATGATCCGCAACTTTAGCTCGAATCAATCGCGCCATTCGTTCCACAATTAACCGATCACGTTCCTTGTTTTCACCTCGTGCAGCTTTTCGCCAATGAAATGTATTCGCACGTACTTTATCCCGCAATGCACGTGGTAGCATTCGTGCTTGCATAAAATCATTAATCTGGTCCATATCTCGTCGATATGCAGTATCACTTTCGTAAAGTTGCTGAAAAAGTGAGACAACATTCGTAATACCATACGCAAAGACACCAGCTCCAACAATCATAGCAGCAATTGAAAATAGACGTCCAGCATTTGTTTTGACTGTAACTAGATAAAATGATAGCAAAGAGTAAGTTCAATGATGTGAATTAAATGATCAAAGAACGTACTGTCACCATAACCAACTGTAGTCATCGTCATCATTGACCAATAAAATGCTGCAATGTACCGTGTTTTGACTTCCGAATCTTGCAATACTCGTGAATTGAGTGCAAATTCCAATTGTTCGTCATAATGGAATGCCAAGTATGCAAATACGCAGCTAAATACATGCGAAAGTGCCAATACGACATAGAGAAAACTCCCAAGACTACTTACTTTCGAAGATATAAGCAATGAATGTTCAAGACGATGCTGAAGTCGAGGAAGACCAAGAACTCGAAGTAATCGAAGACAACGGGCTGCTGGGTATAAATAAGCAGCTTGTGTTGAAAAGTTAGAAAGCGAGTACATGGCTGAACCTTGCGAATTGAAAGGTTGAGGATCGTGTCGTTCAAAAATAGCGTAGAATGGAATTGTCCAAAGCAATTCGGGAAGAAACCATCCACGTGAGTAGTGACGAACAATTGAAAAAAAAGAAAAATGAAGTTTGCCATCATCTTCAACTGCAGTAATAAAACTTTCAGACTTTCTTAGCAACTTGAAAAATGAGAAAAATTGATAGAAAACGGTACGAACTTGAGGATGATGTCTACGAGAAACAACGTATCAATACATAAATCCAATTGAAGAATTGCACGACGTAGAGGATATCGCATCGCAAAAGTAAGTTCAAACGGAACGATGACAAGAACCCCTGGAATTATAAAGATAAATCAGTGACAAGCAAGTAATTCAAACGACAAGATCGTACATGTTGTTAAAACGAGGGTAATGGTATCCCAGATCGAGCGAATACGTCCATGTGGATGTAGCACATGTCGTCGAAGTAATTTAAAGTCCGATCCACCCATTCGATTCGAAAAGTACGCAATTTCATCTTCATCTTCTGAAATTAGTGGTCGAGCTTCAAAAGTAACTTCATCTCCCTCTTCCTCTTGTTCGTCACTATCATCATAACTCGTACCATGTAATCTACCTTTCATTTTCTTCTCCGGTACATCGTAAACGTAGTTTGCTACAACTTCCAAAGCTTCATCTTTATTCATGACAGCAACTTTGGCATTTAAACTTCGTGCGCTACTGGATGTTTGACGCAATGGGTGAGCATTCAAACCTGAAATTAATTGTTTAGCAGAATTCGAACGCTTTAACGACAATTTCGGTGACGCCAAGCTAGTCATATTTTCTTGATAACTATTTCCATCTTTCCGGCCCTTTCCAACTTCATATCGACTACGATCTTCACCTTTACTTCGACTTGACGTTCGAGCATTAATAGAATGAGAAGATCGTGACCAGAATCGAGGATCTACTTTACTTCGGCTTTGTGATTGTGGGGTACGTTTATGCAGAATCGACTCAAGCATCGAAAGCGCACCTAAAGGTTGGGAGTTATTATTGTCATCATGTACCCCTTCTAGTCTCAAAATAATGTATCTACACGATTATAAAGACTTTAAATATGGTGTAACATTACATCGTATTTCACACTTCATGTACAAAACATAAGTAGCGTTTAGAAATTTCGCGAACAGATCAGTAATATTCCATAACTCTATTTTCATCCAATTAAAATTTAAATATTCGTAAAATTATCCAATCTAATTGCTTTTATAATCCACCACAAACTTCGAAACCATGTTCAGTCATCTCCCTCTCCGTGCACGTATTTTCACCCGCTTTCACGCTCTTTCTCCATCAATAACATCATTTTCTTCAACTATTCGTTACAATCATGTCTTGGTTAATGATGATTTCTCAACTGGTTGTCTTTCAAAACGAAAGATAAGGATTTATAAACTCTTGGCTGCTCTCCAAACGTTTCATAGCTTGGAACATCATTTTGCTGTTCCGTATTGCTTTGTCGTACCTCAAAGTACCGATTGGATACCTGAATTGCATGATTTTCCACTTGGTGTCAGGATACATCGTTATATGCAATCAATGAATAAAAGAGTCGTGTCTGATGAAAAGCTCCCAAAGAAATGGATTGATGAAATACAAGAATTTACCAAGATTGGATTTCCAATTAAATCATGGCAAGAACATCAATTTCAACATGTTCATCTTCCTGCTATTAAAACGTACCGAGAACATTATGGTCATTTGATTGTACCTCAAAAATTTCAAGTTCCGTTCGATGGAAAAGAAGCAGAACGCTGGCCACGAGCAACAAGAGGATTGAAACTTGGAAATGCTGTTTCAAAATTGCGAATCCAAGGTGTTAAAACAATTCAATTGGAAAATGATCCAACAAAACCACGAAGAAATATATCCAAAACTCTACCTCCAATTCCAAAACATTGGGTGGAAGAATTAGAAGCACTTGGTTTTGTTTGGCGAATTCTTGATACCAAATGGTATGACATGTTTCTTCCTGGATTACGAAAATATAAAGAATTAAATGGAAATCTTCATGTGCCTCAATTGTTTATAATTCCAAAGCATAAAGATGATCCAAGGTGGTCGAAAGAGTTAGAAGGTTATAGATTAGGACGTCATGTTCAAATGATACGTGAAGGAAAATACGCGCTACAAGTTCAAGAATGTCAAGAGGAGCTTCAAGCACTTGGTTTTTCTTATCGTGTGCAAGAAAAAGTCTGGTGGGGTTGGATCTTACCATCTTTACATGTGTTTAAAGCGGAATATCGTCATTGTGATGTAGGACAGAAATTTATTATACCTTCGAGAGATCCATGGCCTAGAGAAGCATGGGGATTTAAACTTGGACAAACAATTCGAAATATTCGACAAGGAGCATATGAAGTCGAAGTTCAAAGTTCACTTAAAGAATTAGAAGAATTGGAATTCGTTTGGAATGCACGAGATCGTGTGGAGAAGATGGTTCGTCGAATTGTCGTGCCAGCTTTAAGTACATTCCGACAACTTTATGGTAATCATGCTGTTGTGGGAACGGACTTTATTGTTCCTGAAGGTGATCTCAATTGGCCTGAACAAACACGAGGATTTCGACTTGGTCTTTGGATTACACGTGTACGATCTCAAAAGATTAAATTGACACCAACATTGCGAAAAGAATTAGACAAAGTTGGATTTGTTTGGCGTTCCAATGATCAACGATGGAATGATATTCTTTTACCATCTTTTCAAGCTTATGCTGCGCTTCATGATGGTACATGTGCTTCCATGAATACTCGCTTTATTGTTCCACCTGAACCTCCTTATCCACAAGCAGCTTGGGGAGTAAATTTAGGCGGTGCGCTATGGCATATTCGAAATGGAGATTCCTATGTGAATTGTCAAGAAAAAGCACAAATTTTACGACAATTAGGAGTGTTATCAAACTCAACAGAACGTTCCGAATAGAATTTTCAATTGATGATATTGAAAAGAATTTAGAAAATGGTTTCTTGACAACTTGATTGTTGACAATAGACACGTGACGATGGAATTAATTGACCATTCATTTCAAGTTGAAACGTAGGAAAACGTAGACGTCCAATCTGCGTGGCTACAAATTTCTTTTCAATATAAAATTCTCGAATGCCATTTCTTGGATCACTTTGTAAATTTCGTGGTAATATTTCTCGTTCTTTTCCCATTAGAATCCAATCTTGTTTACTTCTTGTTGTTAAACACAATACTAAAGTCTCAGATTGTTGCTTTGATGACATGTTTTCTTGAATTCGAATTTCAAACATTATTGGATCTGTTGTCGAACTTTCAATATCTTGAACTTTGTCATGTTTTCGATGGACATGAATTTGATATTGTGGTCCAATGACATGTTTCAATGGTATTTCAAATCGCATTGTTTGTTTCCATGTTTGATGTTCATCTTGAAATTCAAGTTCGAAATTAGAATCAAATTGTTGAGACAAATCATCAAACAATTGACCACATTGATGTGTAAATGTGCAATAGATACAATCACTTGGACGTAATTGGGTTCCTCGCATCTTTTCGTTTGGATCGTGCTCTAATGTTATGTATGAAGTAGTTGAGAATTGATTGTCTAACCAATTCAATCGATAATCAAGTAAAGTGATAGAAGTGAATGGGTTACATGTCAGTGCAATGGAAGTAAAGAGTCGAGAATTTACACGTTTGAACCGCATGACTGAAGTTAAAGGTGGAATGATACGGAATGTAGAGTCGAGGGATTGCACTTGGGTTGATGTTGCAAAGGTACTTGAATCCAATGATTCTTGATGATATCGTACACTTGCTCGAATCGTTAAACTTCTTTCTTGAATTGCTTCTTCGGAAGATTCTTCGAAAGGAGAAAGTGTTAAAGTCAAGAGATAAAGCAAATAATCTCCACGATTTAATGTCGGTAGTTCCACAGTCATAGAACTACAAGTGACGTTTATGTCCAACGACTGATTTAAGACATTTGATGATCTTGTAACTTCATCAACTTGTATCAATTCAAGAATACAATTGTCTTCACTTGTCTCTTCCACTTCATCATGTGTCAAGTCTTCCATTTCATTCGATAAACTATTTGGTTTCAATGTACAGACTTCAAGTGTTCCATTTGAAACCTTTTCTTCATTTCCTTGGATTGAAATCAACACTTTTTCAACTGAAGCAAAAGGTCGTGGAATAAACAAGTGAGGACCATCAATTGCAAGTTGTAGACTTTGCATCTTTTCTTTCATTTCAAAACTTGCTTGAATTAATTCATTGGCTTTTAACAAGGGGAATTGAGTGCCAGCTATGATACAATCAACGTGAGTACAAGAATAATGTCCTAATGGTACAGTTGAATGAGAAAACACAAACTTTCGATTTGTTTTTTCATTAATTTGAACCTGATTCTCTTCAAATAAAATCGTCACTTCATCATCTTTTGTTTGTTCCTTGAGTTTTTGAAATCGAATTTGAATTTGATCAATATGAAGTGCAGCTGAAAAGTCATTGACAAGATTTAAACTCACTCGAATCTCTCCAAGTTTCACCATTAAATCACTTGAGTGCATTGTTTCAACTGCAAGTGTTGGATTCAAAAGTGATTGAAGATTCACTGTTGTCTTTTCATTCAATTGTCCATTTAAAGGTCTTTGAAAAGATGAAACAAGTGCTGCTATAAATTCTTTAATTTCTTCTTTCTCATCTTTCTCATGAAATTTTAACATATTAAAGCAAGCAGCAACTGCTTCAGTTGAACGTCCTAGAGCAAGTTCAACTCGACAAATTGTACGTACACATGCACGAAAGATCATCAACCAACCATCTTCTTCACTTTGTCGAGCCATTGATCGTAATAAACTTGAAGCACTTTCATACTCCCCACGTTTCAAATGATACATTGCACATTCTTGACCAAGAAATACAGCAAATCGATGTCTTCCAGATTGTGAAAAATACATGGATGCAAGATGTGAGACTTCTAAAAGACATTGATCATACAACGTCGTATCGGTGCATACAAATACATGCTGAAGATATTGATACCATGGTTTAGTTGAAATTTCTTCCTGAAATTCATTCTTTTCAATATCCTTTCGAAAACAAGCAAATTTTCGAAGAATTCGACGTGCAAGATACAAAAGATTTCCAAGTCCTCGAGCCATTTCTTCAACTGGAATCACTTGAGTTGCTTGCATTGAAACACTCGATCCTTTCCATTCATTATCTCGACCACTATATGCAAGTTCACAAGCATAAGCAATTTCCAAACAAGCTCCAACTGCCCAAAGAAATGGTTGATACCATTTCAAAGTTTCTTTCAATTGTTGTAATTCAAGTTGAAAAGTTTCAATAAATTCCATTCCACGTGCTAAAAGTTGTGGGAAATTTCCCATAACATACAACGTACGTATTTGTCGACAGAAACAATAAAGTGAAACGATTTGACTTGATGCACGATTCATTGCAATCAATTCTTGTGTCTTAGTTGAGATAATATCTAACTATATTCATTGTTAATTTCATATAGAAATGAAAGATAGAAATCAATTGATACGTACAGGAGAATGTGTAAAAATAGTATCGTCTTGTGATATTGTGTGCGTCCAATTTGATTGAAATGCTATTTTTTCACATAGACTGAAATCACTAAAACATGCTTCCAGTTCATCTAGCTAAAAATCACAAAAAAACATTAGAAATTATAAAATTTTAAGATAGAAATACATGGTCGTACATGTCGTATCGCATCATCTTGTAAGTACATTTGTTCATACATCGAAGCAAGTTGATCTTTTGTTTGAAAAAAAGCTCCAAAGTTCCAATTGGAATCTCCTCGATTTCCTGCTAATTTTCGTAATTTTTCTTCATATTCAAAACATGTTCGTTCAAATGCTTCCATAACACAATAACGTAAGCGTAAAAGTAATTCAGTCCATTGAGCTTCATGTTGTTGTTGATGTCCGAAAACACTTGTCCCTTTTAACATATCAAGTTTACAAATTCTTTCTTGTCCAGATGCAATTGTCCCACGTAAGAATGTTCCACCCTTTTGAAGAACAAAATCTGTTCGTAATCGCTCAAAGATTTTACGATAAACACCATTTGGTAAATTGTCCGCACCTTTTGGACGTGTACCCAGGGGTACGTACAGTACAAGCCATTCAACTTTCGCACTTGTCATGAGATCGACCCATGTCATTAAATCACGTCTCACGGTATTTTTATAAAAATCTAAATCTTCACATTTAACCACGTAAATACACGCAAGAGGAAAATCGGAATGATCATTTTTGTCTGAAATCTCGACAAAATGAAGTGGTAATTGTTCAATGCGCTTGGTTACACCCACGAGGTTACGCCATTCAATTGCACGCAAAGGTAAACGTTGTGATAAAGAGGATGCTAAGAATTGCCAAACACCACCTCTATCAGTGTATCCGACACGAAGTCCCGGCGACAATAACTCGCGCGTGAATTGCGGCGTCACTGATGCGTACATATACGAGAAATTTAGTTTTATTGAAAAGCATAATGTTGTATTGCAATATGACAGTAGCCTTTTTGACCAATCAAATTGAAGATATTGACGGGGAAATTGAATTTGTACGTTTAATTTTTGTTTTTTTTCTTAGAAGCATCAGGTTCGTACGATTATATTGTACTATTATACAGGTGTCAAAGCCAAGTAATCAATATTACAGCTCTTGGCTTGTTATACCGTCTCCACTATGATGGGAGTTCACGCTTATTACTTTCAAATAATGCACAGCAATGACCGCTATGCGAGCAACCACAACGCTGACCCCTAAACTGCCTGCTTTACTGAGCGTAATTGCACCGGAAGTCGCAGCTGATAAACAGGCTCGACAAATTCTTTTTAAAAGCGTACTCTTTGCGACCAATGCACCTAATAAAATTGGTGATGATGCGAAGGTGTAACTTCGCGGATATTGAGCATCCAGGCCTTTGACGACCAGGCCAAGATCCCAAGGAAAATGCGTTCACCTCTCTGCAACACAAGCCGTGCCTTTTACATCGGCAGGAAGTCTTGCGACACCCAGCCGCGGAGCCCACAATGATGCCAAGCTTGTTTTTAACGGAACAAATGGCTCAGATTTCTTCGTTGTAAGTGCAAGAGTCACACCACGGTCACGGTGTGATACTGTTCATAGTCGCTAGACGCGCAATTGCGAAGCTCTCAGACGAATCTGCGTGTGGTTCATCAGTGCGCACCCAAAGCGAAAGAAAAACTGTTTCTTGAGCTTTTGCTTAACCCACAGTAGTCATTTCCCAATGATAAATAGCAGTGGTTGAGGAACCCCGTTTTTTTCATGAAAAATACTAAAACATGAGTTTTTGATAATGACGCTAAGTATATGTCCACGGACTGGGTAAAAAAAACCGATCGCCTACTTCGTCTTTAGTCTTTACGTATCATCTTCAGATAAGTGGACGCACCTAGAGCGTCGTCTTATGCTTGACTTTGAAAAATACAGACCACAACGCAGGTGTCGAGGTGACAATCCATTCTGACAAGTCCCGGCTGTTTTCGGCCCCGCTCTCCACCGTTAGGCAGCTGTAATAATGATCAATCAAGGGTATTATTTCCCGCAAAATGTATCGCCTAACAAAAGTGGGAAGCGCGCTGCGATAGTAAGACCTTCATCTTCTCCGAGAAAGATAAAGTCATAGGATGCTCCAAGTTGTAAGCGCTCCTGGCACCAGGGCAATCTTGTCGAAATGAAACCTCAAAGTATAACGAGTCTTTTCACAGACGAGAATTCTTCTATCTCTCTACGCACCGAAAATGAACGCCCGGATTCGCGTGATAATGGATCGTCCCTGGCTTATTAAGCCGTGCCGGTGGAAGTCGACTTTGTTGTGGCTGGCTCTCGTGATCTTTCTCGGTTGATTCAGCATCTAGACTTTTTTCCAGAGCCACGGCGTGCACCCGAGGCTTAATTGCGACAGATCTCAGATTTGCTCTCTGAGCTTCGACATCACACTGTCTGGCTTGATACACTTTTAGCGGTTCAGCAGCGTCGCTATCAGAGGTAGCTCAGATACAGGAAGTGTCAAGACGCTGGTTTGTTCGAAGCAGAGCTCTCCGTATCCGGCTGTATTGTAAAAATTGTACTGAGGAACATACATAGACTTTTGAATCGTAATCCTCTCGGGATTTCAGTATAGAATTGTAAAATAATACAACTAACTTTATCGCGCAGTAAGCAGTCCAGCAAAATCGGGATGCTGGTCGAAGGTACTCCTCATGCAGAGAGAGTTTAAACCTTTCACACGTTTGACACGTGATCACGTATGTGCTTACCCGCTTATACATGTTGCGCCATGAACACATAGTGCTCATCAAATAATATGTCTTTTTATTATTCCGAAGTGATTATCCAATGTAGGACCTTTTATCTTGTACTCAATGTTCTCGTCATGAGGCATCACCACATGCAGAGTGTAATGTAAGTCAGTACTGCTATACAGCAATCATTGGGATGGAGCATAGCGTTGGAGATGTACAACAGCGCGCTTTGATGAAGCGATATAGGACTTAATCCTTTCTTTCAAAGCTCTCGGCAATGCAACAATGGTAAGTAGGACTGATGCGCTGTAAGTTTTACCTTTCCACTTGTCAACGTCACTAGTGTAGAGCAAGATCTAGCGCCACATGTAACGGCCCCTACCTCCAAATTATATGCGGCAAAGATAGACGCACACCTTGCCGTTTTCTGGAATGGAGTTGGTGCAATATCGCTGTGCGCAACGACGCATCGTCAATTTGGATAAAAAGACTCAGAGGCAAGCAGATACAGCCTGAACTTGACGAGGGTAAACTCCAGTGAAAATTGCTTGTCGTCAGTGAGTGTACATATAATCTTCCAGCTATATTTATGCAAGTGCTACATGCGTTATGTTTCTTTGCATCTGCTTGGAGCAAAGCGTAGTCTTTGAGAAGGCTTTACTGTCACAGGCGACGTGATAAGGCCGATGTGACTTTGGAGGAGACGAAATTCGGGGGACACTTTGCGCTATCTTGAGCAGTCTCAAGGGTTGCCTCTACTGTCGCACGCCAGCATATTTTCACATCTTTTTGGGATAATATTGATAACGAATGTTGCCATGTCGGCACATTGCACTGAACTTGCGCAAGTTGTTGGTTAGACCGCGCCAGTTTCTCGATCATATTGGAATATTGCTGGCTCAAACATAGATTGGATAACTACCATTAAATAAGCGCAGGGAACCAAACAAAGCGCAGACAATTACGCTATTCTGCAACACGTCCTTCCCAGAATTTGTCGTTTGCGCCAGAATCTTGGCTGCATTCGGCTCACTATATATATAGTATATATATAGTGAGCCGAATGCAGCATATATATATAGCTGCGATTCGCCACTTGCCGTTAGCCTTTCTGACACAAAAAGCAAAACCAAGTGTGGGATTTCCTTTTCACGCCTTAACCACTCGTGCCTCGCGCGGACGATCGTGCCATCGACATTATGTCGCTCCGTTGATGAGGTAACTGTCTTATGACACAATACTTGCACCCGAGAATAAAGTCATTTTCATAGCGCATTCTTCTATTGAGGAGAGACACGTTTGCTCGTTACCACGTTGTTATGTCCCTTCAGCGATGGATAGAGAAGAACCGTGTTATCTTTGAGGAAGCCATTTCACCCTCTACACTTGTTGCTCAGGGAGTGTCTTTAATGACATCTTCATCCATAATGAGCGGCGAGCTCAGCTTCTTCGGGCCCGACTGTATTCTTGGTGAGCTCACCGTTCTGTAATTTCAGCATTGGTTCGAAAGGATAATCCTTCTACCTCGAAATGACCCTTTGCCAGTAGTAGAGTAGATAGAGTAGAATTCTCTGTTCACTCCAGACATGGGCGCGCGATCTGTCCTCAACACTTGTTGGTGACGCTTACTACTTCGCATTGTAGACCAGGCAAATGGTTCCGCTAAGAGTGCTGACTCATCAGTACCGCTCTATCGTGATAAAGATTAATTAATCCTTTCATCTTCAGGGCTTATTGGACTCACAAGTGACCTTCAATTCTGCCGATTCTGGCATGGTGCATTTCACATCGAGTTACTTACACTCTCCACCAACTTTGGTATACGAGATAGCAGCTTGAAGCTGCTTTTCCCGTCATGCCACAGATACACTACAATATACAGAGATTTGTTGTGGAGACCGCGACATAAAATCGTCTTTTCATCCCATCTTAAACCCTCGACTTACCGCCGCTATTGTCAATGTAGACTCATGTTTCAGCAGGAAAGAAATGCGTGGTATCTAGCTGTTTTGACTTTCAGTCGAACCGCGTCTGCCAAAGTCCTCAAACTTTACGTGAAGGTTCAGCATACGTTTGACGCCACCCAGTGTTCTCGTCACAAGACGCATAAATATTGTATCCATGTTTGGTTTATCGATGCCTTCGCGTACTGCCTACTATTTTGATAGTCGCACGTTGTGTGTGTGCGTGTGTGTGTGTAAATTCATGACGCGCCTGAAACTACCAGACTTTCTACAGCTTCACAAGCCTGGGCTTTGATGTGAACAATCAACATTCCTTGGCTGTGATTCGCATCTCTCCCACTAACCACGACCTTCGTCTGATACAATCAGACTCAATTCATTCCCTGTAGATGCAGGGCAACCTATCGGAGCTTGTCTTTTACCTGCGAGACGCTCGTCGTTTGCCCTTTTCGAAGAATCCGACCCTTCGGCCATCCTAGCTGAACGCGAATTAGGCATGTGAGACGCAAATTGGCCCATTTCAAGCATCTGCAGGTGCTGAGCTGCTCAATGGCTAAGAGATCGCTTTCTACCTGTAGCGCGCTTGTAGAGCTTGCATTCCAGTATTCCATCCTGCCCAAGCGGTACGTAGTTCATACTCTGCATAAATTGCGACGTCCACGGCTTTCTTGAAGGGAGAAAGTTGGATGTGGAAGGTCTCAGTGAAAACCGAACTCATTCAGAGACCAACGGTTACTGTATCGCCTCCAGGAGAGTCGGATGCCATTGCGGGCCACACAATATACTAAGCCTAAGTTAAAAGCTACCAACCCATCCTAAGGTATGTGGAACACTCTAACTCAGCCTTTGCGCGAACCTAAAATAAGTACATACTTAAACTATGCAGACATATGCAGTCTTAACCATAACGGTTAAACAT